GATTGCTGATGGCGGATGGCGTCACTCGATGGCAATGGCATTGGATGGGCTTTGTGCCTATTCACAGTGCACTTCGATGACGGACGATTGGCTTGTTGAGCTGGCTGAGGTGGCGTCTATCACAAGCTGGTATTGTCCACTACGTTGCTTGGAAGATGGCGAATAGAGCGGGCTTCTTTGTCCCACGGAAGAATGGCGAATCGTTCGGCGACCTTTTCGTCCTGAACAATGCCACAATCCTGGTCACGGCACCAAAAATATGTTGGACCAGTCGTTCGGGAAGTGGCCGGAATGGGCGTGATCTAAGCCCTATGTTTCACTGGGCAACAGTCGCACTCACTATCAAACACAAACTAGCAGTCATCCAACCGACCAAAATAGCTTGTAGGGAAATCCGGAAGGAATCGGTTCAAGGAAACTCACGAGCTCTTCTTCACTGACTTTTTATTCTGAGCACTAATTAGTAGCAAAAAATCGTACCGAATAGTTTGAAAGATCGATGACTAATAATTATTTATTGCTAATGGAGTTGACTTGAAGCATAACAGCTGATGTTTCTTGCATGTGTGTGTGTGCGAACAGTGCACGAATCCTAAGGGATAGTTCACATTTGCCCTGTAATAACATTCTCTAGAGATGGATTCTACAGCTTTAGCTACTACCGTTACACAACAGCCTTCGCTTACTGCTTTGAAATCTTCTTCTCTTTCTTTTCACCCTCATCTTCGTTCTTCTGCCGCTTCCACAGCGTGCAGTCTCTCCTCATATGTCCGGGCTTTTCACAATAAAAGCACACCACACTCTTCTTCTTATCGTCCGTCTTCAGAACAACCGGATCCACTACCGACGATTCCCGCCGCTTGTGGACTTCGTTGATAATTTTCCCCTTCACTAATTGCAGCGTCAAATCGTCGCCGGATCGGTTTTCCAACGTCGTCGTTAGAGCGTCAAACGAATTTGGCGAACTTCGAAACACTAGAACCACCTGAAGGTCCTCGTCTAGCTTTGTACCAGCGTTAGCCAGCTTCTCGAACAAATCCTCAAACGCTCAAACTCCATCAGGTGCTCTTCGATGTCGTCACCATCGTGGTAGTTCATGTCGCAGATCCGTTTGAGAAAATGCACTTTGGACGTCAGCGTCTTCTTCTGGTGCTGCCGCTCCCACAATTCCTTCGCGGAATTCGTATTCCGAATGTGCCCGTGTTGACTCCTTGACAGCAGCAGACCGATCGTTGCGCGCACCTTCTTATCTCCCTCGTCCCAGGCAGCCAGCACCGCCACATTTGCACCTTCCGCAGCCGCTCCCGACTTAACTCCCGGCGAGACGTACTTCCAAAGCCCTTCTCTCACTTAGCTTAGCTTAGCTTAGTCTGACTGCACGTATCGATAGTTGCACTCCGTGATTGATCTGAACCAGTGAAATTGTACAAAGAATCAACTGAATGGGGCTTGGTAGTAACCTGCCATTCTCAGTGTACATGTTCCAGTGACTCCTACCTTTAAAGATCAATAACGTCACCGGCCACGTCCTTGCAATCAGGTGGGAGAGGGAAGGAATGTTAGTGTGTGACTTTTGTTGTTTTGGGACCGTGTTTACCTCTGCATCCCACAAAAGTCACAGGAAGGAGGTTTTGTTAGTGGGTTAGGTTCGTTGGATCAGGATTCACCTTGATAAGTGATGCGATCTTTTGTTTTGTGTAGTTATTTATAAGTGTTTTCGATTTATGCTCTAAACAGCCGGCTGTCTAGAGATGTAGATCATTATTAGATGTGTGTATACCGATTTAAACCAACAATAAGGATACTGTTGGGGCCCCGCACAAAGTGTGATGATGGTTTATTTTATTTTATCAATGACCAAAATAATTAATTATAAGCGGTTTGAACCGATTTAAACCAACAGCAAGGATGCTGTTGGGGCCACTCACAAAGTGTGATGGTGGTTTACTTGATTGAATATAAAATAATTATTAGAACCGATTTGACCCGATTTAGACCAACGGCAAGGATACTGTTGGGGCCACTCACAAAGTGTGATGGTGGTTTATTTAGTTCGGAAGAAAATGAATATGTATACTTCTTTTTTTTTTTATATAATAGAACGAATTTGTACTGATTCAAATCAAAAGCAAGGGTTCTATTGGGGCAACTCACAAAGTGCGATGGTGGTTTATACTATAAGGGCATAAAACAAAATCAAGAGCCATTTCGGTTTCCATAGCTTCCTAGACACTCGGCCGCAAAATAATCTTATCCGACGGAAACGTCTCGATCATCGCTGCACAATGGTTTATTATAGCATTTATAAAGTAAATTTGAATACCTTATTGTTTATTTATTATCCATTTTGACTTGACTTGGTACCGTTCAGTTTTATGATGACAAAGTTGCCTGGAGAAAAGTGACAGTTCAAAATGTTTCGGAAGGGAGTCAGCTAGTGTCGTCCAAGTTCAAGTGCGGAAAAAAATGCCATTTAAAGTGGTACAAACAATTGAAAGATGCGAAACATGCCTAACCGTAATTCTTTCTGGTTGGAAAGAAGCTGGAATCCTACACTGGCCGGAAAAAAAACGCGGTAGCGAAACTCTCTCAAGACGAGTTCTCCATGCCAAACCCAATGTGGGAACGTATCAATTGAGTGAAAAAAAGAGAGTTCAAGACTCGCTTGGAGGCTGAAGCAGAATTGGAACAGATGTAGCCAGTTTCGGATACGGAGGCGAACGAAGGGAATAATCCACCACCGTCAAAGAAAGTTTGCCCCGAAGTCTACAAGTCCCCCAGTCGGAAGGGAAACACAATAAGAGACTTTAACGAAGTTTTCCTTATTCCTGGGCAGGAGGTTGACACCTGTGAAGCTGACTGTAAAATCCAGAATCAGATGAGATTATAATATATGCGACACAAATTCACTTTTTTATAGGGGAACATGTGATGTGAATAGAACCCACCATCAGTGCAAGGATTACATATGACTGCAGATACTTCACTGGTTGTAAAGTTCTGCCTGATGGTTTGTTGCAGCTGGGTGAATCAACTTCATTGAAGACCTTTGGAAGACAAACGACAAGATGTACGTCTATCAACACGTGACAAGGGACTGGCAAATCCACGAACACTTGTCCAGTCTACAAATCCATTGAAACCCTTAGGCTGCCCCCCCCCCAAACCCAACATATAATAATGTTTGATTGATGAAACGTATTCAAAAAAGGGATATTTAGAGAGAACAATCTTCAACTGGAACGTACTCACCAAATCAATACATCCGGGAGCGCATTCTCGATGCTTAATTTTCTCTAGTCATTTTTAAACAATTCCTCCTCCAGCGAATCCAAACACACAATAACTAAATATCACTTTTCTTCTTCATGTCACTCTGTGCACAAAAGCAATGCACACCGCAAAAACCTAATAATAGATCAGCGCGGTCGAGTCACACTGTCAACAAAGGGAGCGAGAGCACACCAGGCACCAAAGCAACAGGGGAAAAACATCAGCACAAATCATTCTAAATAGAATTATCGCGTCCGGGACATAAAACTATTCAAATGCGAGCACCGAAAAACTACACGGCAGCACAAAGATAGCCCGAGCTCTAAAAAAAAAAAGCACGCAGCGGAGCAAAAACACACAACCGTTCTCGGACGCTTCTCAAAGCGGACTCCCCGTACTTCCAAAGCCCTTCTCTCACTAACAGAAACTCGACTTCCAATTTCCACGAATCATAATCATCGTTCGTAAGCTTCGCGATTCCCGTTCGCTCCATTTTATTGAATCAAATGTTCGAACAAATTCAATAAAAATAACTTGAACTTTTATTTTTTATCGACTTGATGAAACGTGTTAACACAGGCCCATTGGCGTTGACGGCGACTCTGTAGCTCTTTACTCCTATGAGAAAATCCATAAGCAAACGTCAGACTGTGCGTGAAACATGGCGGACTTTGTACCTACTATCCTTTCACTCCACCGAAAATTCCCATAAGAAACTGTCTATATTTGCTGAAAGAGCAAATTTTTCGACGGTGCCGTCAACGCCAATAGCCTGTTAGCCGTGAAGTAGCAGAGTAAATAAAACACACCTTTACTGGTCACGACAACAAACTCAAGTGAGGTTTTTATTCATCCGCTCTCAATGGTTGTTCAGTTGCTTTTACACTGAATGAACGCGCGATGCTGAATGGCGCAGTGCTGCCATCAAATTTGTACCCGGAACATCATTTTACACTGAATTTAGCGTTTTTTACCTCTGAACACAGGCAAAGCTTCCACCGGAACCTTGAGATCCGATAACAATTGCTGTTCGTACGCCATATTGTTTTATTTTGAACAAACCGACAGTGAGCATGAATAAGGGCGTAAACGCGATGATCGATTCTCTTCGTCGATTTTCTCTTTTGTAACTCGCAAGAATTAACGTTTCTCGGTGCGTGCGTTTGCTGTTGTTTTTGATAGCCAATACAACCTGTTACATCTCTGCGTTGAACAAATTCTAGAAAATTGTTTCGCTTAACTGTAGCAATGCAAAGAGAAAATCGATGAAGAGAATCGATCATCGCGTATACGCCTTTATGCATGCTCACTGTCGAAACGTCGTAGATCGTTTCATACGAACTACGTATGATTTTTTTTCACACAAGGTAAACTAATAAAGTTCATTGTAGTCTCGTATGAACTTCAAACGCGTTTCGTATGAAAATCATAATTGAGACGTGCAATTTGTATAAGCCTGCTATGGAAAACATACGTGAAATGAAATAAAAATCTTAGTTCTAGTTTTCTCAGTGTAGGCTTATTATTAAAAGTTGTTACGTCATAAAAAATTGTGGGCCGTCCATAAACTACGTAGATAGTTTAGGGGGTGGGGTTTTATGAAATATCTTAATTGCTCCCGTAAGAGTAATTTTCCAGAGCAATTCTAATCAGTGATTGTGTAGTGTCAGAAATTTCCTCTAGGATGGCTGTGATATTGATCACCGTTAATGAATTTCACACACCTCGTTTAACGAAGCTTACACATTGTTCTCTAAATTGGGAACACAATTTATTGTAGGTAAACGCTACTTTGCATCCTAACTGGGCTTAGGCAACTATCAATGTAAATATGGCAATCACTCAAATAACCATGGCTGCAAAACGTTTGCCCACTATGTTATCTTCCTCTACTAATAATATCAACAATTTTGATACGAAAACGAAAAACAACGAAATATCCTAACAATTTGGAACAGCAAAACAAAAATTTTTGTTTTAAGATAACATATTTTATCTCAGACCTAAACAGCGAAAAACAAAATGGTAAAGAGAGAGAGAACGTGAAACAGCACTTTTACAAAGCGCCAAACGTTTCTAACACAATGATCGACGTTTACACGACGGTTGGACAATTTTGCGCACTTTTCCTTAACACCTACGTTTTAAAAACGACTTAACTGCTATGGGCCCTATGTACGAAGAAGTCACTTCGTACAGGTCCGGGAGGTTTATAACGATGAATATTCTCCACTCAAGAGAAAGAGAGAACTTTTGTTCCGTGTAAATTGAGATAATGAGGGGAAATAACTTTCTTACCTTATAGCCTAACACTTTTCTTACAAGTAGTATTGTGATTCTGTTCTATCTGCTTCACTGGTTGATTGCCTCATGGTTAAGCTTGCTGCGCTTGCTATTGCTAGTGTTACTTCCAGCGCTACTGGAGTGTGTGCGCTTCCTTCAGGACGAATCAATCCCATTGCACGATTCGTACTCCGACGAAGCGGTCGTACACGCTGAATGGGTTGAGTCGTAGCTATTGGAGGTGGAGATCGGTTTCAGCAATGGTTCACCTACGACACCATTGGCGTGGAGAACCGTTGCCAGCGAGGAGGAGGAATGCGACGGAGGAGAGAGATTTGGCGACTGCGGAAAGCGCTGACGGTGGGCTCGGATTGCACGCCAAAGGCGTACCTCGGTACCGACTCTGTAAAATTGTAAACTACACTTGAAGGACATCTCTTTTTCTGATGCAAATATGCACTTACCTCAGTCCTATCCTCCGTAGGTCCTCCTGATCCATTGCGTAGATAAAGTCTTCGTAGCTAAACTCCTCGAAGTGAATTATGTTTCGCACGTGGGCACTGAATTCGTGCTGAATCAGCCACTCATCCAATCGGGAATCCGGTTGGCTGCCAGTAGCCATTGCATCATGAGTCCCATCATACGGGGCCACCCTAACCGGTGTTCTCCGGTCCAATCCAGGTCGTACCGACTGCTGGTGTCTGGCGGGCACATCTGGCTTCAAGAAGTTGTTGTTAGCAGAATCAACTTCGTCTGTAATGCCAGGACTTTCTGCCAAATCACTAGCATATCCTAGCGAACTGCGATCCTGCCGACTAGCCACCGACACCAGCTGGGACGCCAGCGCTCGGACCATATCCGCATTCGTAGATTGTCCCTCGAGGGCTGTCTTGAAAACTCCATGATACATTTTGTGAGATTCGTACAGATCTTCCATCAGTCTTAGGTTCTCCGCTCGCAGAGCGGTAATTTGATCGTTAACCACCTTGGTGCGACTCAGTTTCGTAGGTTTTGCCACCGTAACCGAGTTGACGGTCCCCACTCCCGACGTGGACAATTCACCGTCATCATCGTCGTCGTCGTCATCGATTCCATCTCTAGCCACTCTACCTCGATGATGGGCATTGTCTCCGTCGTCATCATCGTCATCCTCGTCGTTGTGACCATGCCCGGCTAGATTCCGACCCAGTTCTGTAAGATAAAGCAATGAATTTTTAATCTTATTCCCAACCAATGCTCTAAGCTCCACTTACCAGGCGACAGCACCATGATCGCGGCCTGCACGGAGCTCTTAACTAAATTATCCAGCGCAAACATCCAATGCGGCTTGATGTTGTGCGATCGCAGCACTGCATTGACCGCGTCCTGAAACGAGTACATCGCCAGATGTAGATGATCGATCGCCGTCGAATCGAAGTCAAGGTTCTTCTTCAGCCCGCTGATGGCTGTTTCCAGGTGTTCCTTCTTCTGCTCGGTGATGTAAGTCCGCAGTACCTTAATGAGCGTCTCCAGGTGGGATTGAGTAATAACGACGGCCTCCTTTCGGTCCGAGACGATTTTTTCCATCCACACCTGGCAGATCTTGCGCTCGTCGTGTTCGAGCACCCTATGCAGCGTGGCACGGCGTTGGGAGTCTTTTTTGAGCAGGTAAAATCCGTCACTTTCGTTGGCTTCGCCGGCGAGCAGCGGAGACTTGCTGGATGTTGACGGGAGGTCCACCTGGAAGATGAGGAGACACGAACGGGGAAGTATTGTAATATGTTGTTGAGTGTAGCAAGGTCCTAACCCTGCCGTGTCGATCAACCTGGCCGAACCCACTCAGCAATCGAGCTGTCAAATGATGAGCGCTGTTTTCTACCATTCATTCGTTTTCATAACCCACAAGTAAACAGATCGTTTGTAAACGTTAATTAATAATAAAAGCTTCTTCTTTAATTCCGCCGTGTTTAAGTTTATCTCGGTATCACTGCCCTCAAATCTCATCAGCCCAGGGCCCAGTGATCGCGGTTACCGAGAAAAAGTAAGTGTTTCTCGCGGAGAAGATGAAGGAGAAATTGCTAGAGTGCCCCAGTTCGATGGGTCGAACTATCCGCAGCGGAAGTACCGGATGCTGGTGCTCCTAGAAGAACATGAGCTTCAGGAATGCATCCAGTGGAAAACGGTGGAAGCTGCATGCCTGCATGTCGTATCGAATCGACAACGACCAAGGATGCGTGAAGTTTGCAGTCTCTCGGGGTATGGTAGTGCGAAGTACCTTTTTCTCCCGCAAAGAAAACTACAAAGCCACCTGGAGATCACCTGACCAACACATAGAAAACCAAATCGATTACGTTCTAATCGACGGGAAATTCTTCTCCGACATTATCAACGTCCGCACGTACCGCAGTGCGGACATAGATTCGGACCACTACCTAGTTGCAGTATGCATGCGGTCAAAACTCTCGACAGTGCATAACACCCGTCGAAGTCGAACGCCGCGATCCAACATTGAGCAACTACGGGACGCCGGAGTTGCCCAGGACTACGCGCAGCAGCTGGAAGTTGCACTTCCCACGGAAGAGCAACTTGGCGCAGCTACTCTTGAAGATGGCTGGAGGGACATCCGTTCAGTCATAGGTAGTACTGCTGCAGCGGCACTAGGTACTGCGTTACCGGACCGAAGAAATGACTGGTTTGACGGCGAATGCAAACTGTTAGCAGAGGAGAAGAATGTAGCACGGGCAAGAACACCGCACGAGATTGACTGTGGAGCGATACAGACAGCGCGGAACAGACAAAACTCGGTGTTCCGAAGAAAGAAGCGTCAGCAGGAAGACCGAGATCGCGAGGCGATAGCAAATCTGTACCGCTAATCGACACATGAAAGTTCTACGAGTAGCTAAATAGTTCGCGCAAAGGCTGCGTGCCGCAAGCCGATATGTGCAAGGACGGTAACCTTCTCACGAAGGAGTGTAAGGTGATTGAGAGGTGAAAGCAGTACTATGACGAGCACGTCAACGGTGATGCAGCAGAAAACGAAGGTGGCATGGCAACAGACCTTGGAGCACGCGCAGAAGACGACAGGATACCGGCCCCTGATCTTCAAGAAGTTGAGGAGGAGATCGGTCGACTGAAGAACAACAAAGCAACTGGTGTAGATCAACTACCAAGTGAGCTATTAAAATACGGTGGTGAAGCACTGGTTAGAGCACTGCACTGGGTAATTGCCAAGATTTGGGAGGAGGAGATATTACCGGAGGAGTGGATGGAAGGTGTCGTATGCCCAATCTACAAAAAGGGCAGAGAAATTCAAAGATGTATTATGCTCGTGTTGGACTATGCTCGTGGAGGACGTGGTGTTTTCGAACGGAAGGTGTTGCGTACCATCTACGGTGGAGTGCAGATGGATGACGGAAAGGGGAGGAGGCGAATGAACCACGAATTGCACCAGGTGCTGGGAGAACCATACATCGTCCACATTGCAAAAATTGGGCGACTACAGTGGGCTGGGCACGTTGTGAGAATGCCGCACGACGACCCAGTCAAAATGGTTCTCGAAAGCGACCCAACAGAAACAAGAAGAAGAGGCGCGCAGCGGGCAAAGTGGATCGACCAAGTAGAAGGCGACCTGCGGACCCTTCGCAGACTATGAGGCTGGCGAAGTGTGGTCATGGATCGCGTAGGGTGGAGACGACTTCTTCGGACAGCAGAGGTAAGGTAAGTAAGCGGTTGCTTGACGAGGAAATCAATCGTAAAAATCAAGGTGGCGGATCCAGCAGGATGGAGACGGCAGCGACAGCGTTTAGTGGTTATGGTGGTAGTGCAAAATATGACAAGAAGAAGGAGAATAAATGGAAGTGTTACGACTGTGGTCGTGGAGGACACAACATCGTAGACTGTCCGGAGAAGAACAGTAAGAAGATGGAATCGATGAAATCGAGTTCGCATCTGGGTTGTTTACCGAAAGGGAAGAGGAAGATGATGTGTCAAGGAGAGAGAGTCCATCGTCGCTAGAGAGTACGGCGAGATCAAGCTGTTCGCCGTAGTTAGTGGTGAATCGATTCTTATTATACTTAAGAACGTTGTCTATATTCCGAAAGCCCGTGTGAATCTCCTTTCGGTTCGGAAGATGGAAATGGCGGGACTGAAAGTTGTTTTCGACGATGGTGTCGTGCGAGAGTCGGATGTGGTGAGCATCGCGGTAAGCTTTACGAGCTGGATTTCTATCGGGAAGAACCAGCTGAGGCAGTGCTCTATTCGAGCGGTCGAGTGCCAAAAGACCTTAAACTCTGGCATCGGCTTTACGGGCCTTTGAGTGCGAAGAACTTGCGATTACTGGTCGATAACGAAATGGTTTCCGGAATGAGTGCCAACAAGGACAAATTCGGTTGTGAGCCGTGTCTCATCGGTAAGACACACAAGCCTTTTTCCGTGCGCGAGGTTAGACGTTGCCGGTGGACATCGACGGTGAAAGGTAACGACTACATTCGTTTCGAAAGATCAAGTGGCCGGACTCTGCAAGGACTACGAGGCATTGGTGAGCGCATATTCCGGTTCCGCTGTGATAATGGCGGTGAATACAAGAGTCGTGAGCTCCAAGCTTTCTGCAAAAGAATGAAAATCGAGTGGACCCTACACTCCAGAGCAGAATGGTTTAAGTGAACGAATGAACCGGACGATCGTGGAGAAGATGCGTTCCGTGCTCGAGGAATGTGGTATCGGCAAGCAGTTTTGAAGACCAGCAATCCAGACGTCAGCGTTCCTGACTAACCGTTAAACCCTGTTAGCCCGATTGGTCGCGGTAAGACACAAAATGAAATTTGGAAGGGTTGTAAGCCAGGTGTACAGTACCTACGAATGTTCGGATCGTAGAAAGAAACTTGACGCGAAGTCTTGGAGAGGGGACTTTTTGGGGTATTTATGCAATGGTTACCGTGTGTGGGAATCTAAGCGAAAGGAGATCATCGTGGCACGAGACCTAGTTTTCGTTGAAGTTGAAAGAAGAGCGAGTCAAGTGGATCCAAAAACGGGGTGCAGTTCCGATGTGTTTCCAGTTCGTGCAGTTCGGAATGGGTCCCAAGATGAGAGTGACGCTGAGGATAAAGATGTTTCCAATGAAGAGTCAACTGGATCGGGCGGATATTCGAATGGGTCAGATTAATTAATTAATTTAGCTTTATTTAGGAGGCTTTCAGCCTTAGGCTGGTTCGCCTCCGAAGGTTCGGGGTCAGATGAAGATTCGAACGAAAGCGCTGTGGAAGACAGTTACGATATCTGTGCTGACAGAACGATCCAAGAAGGAGAAGCTGAAGATGAACTGAAATCAGCGTCATCATGTCACCGATCAGAACGGAAACGGGAGCCACCGGGATGGCATCAAGAGCTTAGTGGAAAATCTGTCCACTTCGTTAGCTGAATTGAAGAAGAGGCCAGATTGGGAGAAGTGAGAGCTAGCCGTTCGCGAGGAGATCGATTCCCTCAAGCGGAACGATACGTGGACGATTGTCAAGCTTCCTACAGGTCGTGTCCGACAAAGTGTAAGTGAAACAGAACGAAGCCGGCGGAGGAGATCACTACAAGGCGAGACTCGTAGCTCGTGGGTTTAGTTAGAAGGCAGGACTCGACTACACCGAGACGTATTTCCCAGTTGCGCAGCTGGACAGCGAACGAGCAGAAAATGGCAGTACATCAGATGGACGTGAAGACTGCCTTTCTGAACGGTAAATTGGAGGAAGAAATATACATGACCCAACCTGAGGGATTTGAACAAGGGGAAGATTTGGTTTACCGACTCAACCCATCTCTGTATGGCCTAAAGCAGGTCTCGAGAGCCTGGAATGCGAGATTCCATTCGTTCGTTGAGAGGGTTCGATTCAGAAGGTGTTCCAGCGATTTATGTCTCTACGTGAAGGGTACCGGAGACGATCAGGTTATTATGGTGCTGTACGTCGACGACCTACTGGTGCTCGGTCACCACCTGAGGGCTGTGGAGACAGTGAAGTGTTGTCTGGTGAACGAGTTCGAGATAACGGACGTCGGAGAGGTGCGATGTTTTCTCGGCATGAGGATTGATCGGAACGTTCAGAGAAGAATTCTTCGGATCAGCCAGAGGAGCTTCCTGGAGAGTTTGCTTCGTCGTTTTGGTATTTTCGACAGCAAACCCGTGTCTACTCCCATCGAGTGCCGTTTGTGTTTGCGAAAATGAGAAGAAGTCAAGACCAACAATTGAAAAGGCCTCAACTCCATTTTGAAAACAAATCTTGTAAGGCAATTTTCTCGCGATTCGAAACCTATATTCGCAAACCTTAAACACAATCGGGTAGAGGAGAATTTCGTTGTTGGTTTGCGTTGACGGACTTCGGTTCGCGATAAAATGACCTTACAATCTTTGTTTTCAAAATGGAGTTGAGGCCTTTTCAATTCTTGGAATGTACCGACAAACCGTGTAGGGAGCTCATCGGTTGTCTGACGTACATGCGTGGCGCTGTCATCCAGACCAGACCGGTCAGCTACCTAAGTCAATTTCAAAGCTGTCCGACGGAGCAGCACTGGGTTCACGCCAAAAGAGTCTTGCACTACATAAAGGGAACGCTAGACCTGGGACACCTGTGGACAGGCGGTCGCTAACAGATACGTCTGTCGTGTGTGAGGCAGTACTGCGAAAATACAGTCAACAATTTCCTAGTCGTCAACGGAAGCTGAGCTGGTGGTACTTTGCACAACTATGCGTCACGGAGTTTGGCTGGTTTGCTTGCTGAAGGATTTGTCAAGAGAATTGGAGAGACCGGTTATGTATTTTGAGGACAACATGTCGGCGATACGTGTGGTTGAGGATATGGGGTTGGCGGTTTCTGGACATTTATCGGTTATGTTGAGTGTAACAAAGTCCTAACCCTGTCATGTCGATCAACCTGGCCAAACTCACACAGCAATCGAGCTGGCAAGCTCCGATGTCTTCTGGCGGTATCAGGTTTAGGCAAACGGTCCTGGGGCGAGGCTTTTTCGACCGCAATATATCCGTACCGTTCAATATATCACCGTCGTATGTTGTTGATGGTTCGCCTTTTGAAAGATGGTGGGATATAGCAGCCAGATTATTCTATGATTCGTGTGTTTGGCAGCGAAGCGTACGTGCACGTTCCTGATGAAAAGCAAAGAAAGCTGGACGGCAAGGCTACAAAAGCTTGTATTTATTGGATACGCTGAGGACAGGAAAGCATGGCGTTTCTTAGACACAGCAACGCATCGTGTCACGATCAGCAGGGATGCACAATTCCTTGAACTGAATGGAGTGGAAGAGGAAATGACCAGTAGCAGCAAGTCTGATGAGTTCCCGGATGATGAAGTGCTTGTACCGGTGTTGCCACCTGTTGATCCGGATAGAGAAGTGGAAAACCAAAGTGATGATCCTGAGAATTCGGATTCCGAAAATAGTTCGCCGTACGACTGAACATGAACCTGTGAGCTTTGAAGAACCAGATATTGAGGGCTACCCTGATGACGAAATCGTCCACCGTTCAAGAGGGATTCCACCGCGAAGGCTGTTGGAGGAGAGTTTCAGTGCTCAGCGTGCAGATGAAGAACCGAGGAACCTGAAGCCTCCTCTGCTCCTCTGCCGGGTCCGGACAGAGATCAGTGGGTTGAAGCTATGAAGGAAGAACTACAATCGCATGCGGTGAATGGGATGAGGGAGCTGACGGAATTGCCGTTTGGTCGTAAAGCAGTTGGTTCAAAGTGGATCTATAAGATCGAAAGGAACGCGTCTGGTGAACTAGTTAAGTTCAAGTATCGTCTGGTCGCCCTGCTGGGTTACTCGCAGCAGTTTGGCGATGATTGTGACGAGGTCTTTGCCCCCGTTACAAAGCAGGCAACGTTTCGAACATTCTTGGCTGTTGCATCTCGGCTAAACATGACCCTGCGACATCTTGATGTAAAGACCGCTTACATGTACGGTCACCTAACGGAGGAACTGTACATGAAGCAACCACCGGGATTCGCTGAGAAAGGAAAACAGAAGCTGGTATGCGGATTGCGGCGCAGCATATAGGTGCTGGAACAATCGTCTCCATTGTGTTCTCTTGGAGTTGGGATTCAGCCAAAGCAAGACGGATCAGTGCCTGTACACGAAGCTAGTAGGGAAGTTAGAGTTTGTCTACTTGTGTACATAGATGATATTCTTTATGGTTGTGTGGAACAACAGTTTGACCTCACGGATCTGGGATAACCTAGTTACTTCCTGGGTCTGGAAAATTGTACGTCGAGAGGGGAAATACAGCGTCACACATAAAGGCTACATTGATAAGATAGCAACACGGTTTGGATTGCAAGATGCTAAGTCGGCGAAAAGTCCAATGGATACAGATTTCGTCTCAACATCGCAGTCTTGTGGGTGCGCCGATCGTGGGGCAAAAAGTGTGTTCACCTACTGAAGCTGATTGGACAGCCGTGAGCCAAGGGTACCAAGGGTGCCCGTCTGGAGTACGACCGCGATACAGATCTCATCGGCTATTCGGACGCTGATTGGGCGTCAAACCAGAACACTGTCGTCCATGAAATCGGAGTATGTGGCATTCGGTGAAGCAAATTAGGAGTTTAGGGGGACCAGGTTTACCAGTCATATGAAGTGTTTTTTAGACAGTAGTACCATACTACGTATATGGGGATAGTGCCATAATTGATTCATTTGGCCTTACTAAGAACAGCTTATAAGCACCGGTAAACGGTTAACGCAGACATCCTGGTATAATGTTGTAGTTATCACACCTACCTCAGGCGATAGCAGTCCTCCGGATGAACTCCTTCGATTCAGCTGAAATCCGGCCGGTGGTGGTTCGATCGATTCAATCTCCAACGACGGCGTTTCGGCAAGATTCCTAAAACAAGACATTGGCATGGATTAGATTTTACTGTAGGTATTTCAAATTCGGAGCTTCATTTTTCATTAATGTCATTTAAATTCGGAGAACAATTCAAGGATTAACGAAAGCCAATAAGCTAAACGACATAATTTTAAATAATCGAACATAGGGAGATACAAATAGGTAGGTACAGAGAACACGTAGAGTAAACATAGTAGCTAAGTATTCGCGCCGGATCCACTGGTTACTCACCCAATGCTACTGACATGGTTTGGCATTTGGATCGGCGTCAGATGGGCGAGATGTTTGTTCTTCCGGATCGTGGCTGATCTGGTGAATGTCGGTGGTGTGCAGCTGTCGGTTTGTCACAGTGGTTGTTACGATTGTTGGTATGCATCGAAACAAAGTGAAGCAGGATGATGTGACGAGTTTTAAGGTGAACAGAAACGAACGGAAGCACAGGGTAAGAAAATGAAACATTCTGGTTATTGTTTTAAGTAAACAGTTGCAAATTAACGCTAAGGTTCAGAACGGAAAAATATGCTTGATTTTTTTTTGTGTGGAGAAGAAAGCAAACTTACTCAGTTTCCGAATTGATGCTTGGAGTATTGCAGCTAATTGAGCTTTGTTGAGAGGCAAGAGTGTTGCTAACATGACGATCTGCCGGCATGCTAACGCTACGGGAAAATTCGGCCACGGGTGTCGTTGTTGGAGGGATACTGATCGAGGCCCGCATCTTCTTGTGTTTACTGTAAACATATAAATGCATGAGTCAGTTTGTATGTATTTCGAACACCTACTGAACGTACTCTGATAGGAATGGATCGTCCAGCAATTCGACAGCCGTGGCTCGCTTGTCAACATCCACCTCGAAGCACCGTTTGATGAAGTTCCTCGCAATGGGCGAAAGTTCCGCTGGTATATCCGTGTGTTTTTTGTAGAAGCCCACTTTGAACATGGCTGCCTGCGGAGATCCAAGCTCCACGAACGGGGGCTTTCCGGTAGCCATCTCAACGACGGTACACCCAAAGGACCAAATGTCTGCCGCCGGTCCGTAGCCTCGAACGCCTTGATCTATCACCTCCGGTGCCATGTACTGCAGCGTTCCGGTGAAGGTTTCCGTCACCGGGTTGATTCCGGCCAAGCGTTTCGAAGTTCCAAAGTCGGATATCTTGACCACTCCACTGTACGTGTTGACCAGTACGTTATCCCCTTTGATATCCCTGTGGACGATCTTCTGCTCGTGAAGGTACTTCAATCCCTCCAAGATCTGCTTCGAGTAGAATGCAATGGTAGCCTCGTTGTCTTTTAGCGGTCCCCACTTAGATGATAGCAATGCAGAGAGCGATCCTCCCGGGACTTGCTCCATGAAGATCTTAAAGTAGTTATCCTCCGATTTAGATCCCCAGTACTGCACAATATTCCGATGACGCAACTGCGAATGAAGCTTGATTTCTTCGTGCAGCGGTTGCACCTCGTGACTGTACTTTTCCGGCACTTCCTTAACCGCAATCTTAACCTGTGTATTGAGATCCCTCGCCGCGTAGACCGTTCCGTACGAACCACGACCCAGTACGATCCTTCTCGACTGATCGTCCAGCTCGTACTCGTACTTGATCTCATCGCTCATGGTTTCCGTAGATAGATCAATGAAACCAGAACCTTGATCCGCGGTCATCTGCAGGATGAGATCGTAGAATTGCTGCCGACACTGTACCGATGGGAAGTACATCTGAAAATCGTCCGAGTTCTGCTGCACGTACAGGAAGGCACATCGCTCGTCCCGCTTGTACAAGCTAACCGACTTGATCTGGCAGGCAAGGAAGTTGAAGTTGTGAACCTTGCGGCACTTGTCCTTTTCATGCTGTTGGCAGATGTTGATGATGTCGATCGATTTCTGCTCCGCATCCATGTGAATCGAGACGTACGAGGGGAATAGGACTTTTTGGGTTTCCTGAATCAATATGGGGAAACGAACGGTCGAGGACGGTTCGGCATTAGTAGCTTCCATAAAAAACTCCATCCAGAACTGAAAGATCTGCTGCTCGATCGAGGCTAGTGATTCTTCGGACTTTCGTCGAGAGCAGTCGATCAGTGTGATGTTTCCAATGGTCGATTTGAGATACCATTTGGGGGGCTTCAGCCGGAACATGCATTCGGCTGCCTGGATGGCTTTGGCGTAGTTTTCGGCCAGTACCGAGATCTCGAAGAACGTCGCCACGTTCCAGTAGTCTTTGATGGACGATAGGGAACCTTTCTTACCGATTAGATTATTCAGCATCATCCCAATGTGCTGTAGTTCGGAGTCGGAAAAATCTTTCCCTTCGATTACCAGCAGAGTTGCCAGATTGATACCGGCAAATTCGTTCGATTGGATCTCGAAACTCTTCCGATACCAGGTGATTGCATTATTCAACGACTCCATGTCGGTTCGATTCGACTCTACAAATATATCTTTGTAGATCCTTCCACAGAGGCACAGCATATCGGGGAAGTGGTTCTCCTTTTTCTCCAAGGCTTTCGTACAACAAGTCAATGCTTTGTCGCGATCACCTTCTTTGTTCCTTCTGTTCAGCGCGAAGGCATACAGGTAGTTCATGTTTCCCGTATTGATATAGTTCTGCTTGTTCGGAACCGTCTGCAGATCATCAACCAGCTGGACCATGGCATCATAATCCTGGACGTCCCGCAACGACAGCATGTAGGTTTGAACGATCTCCTTCGACAGGACATGCGGATCGTCCAGCCTCTTTCGCATGTTCCTCAGCATTTTCTGCAGTTCTTCAACATTCCCCGCGTACTGGTCCCTCAAACTTCTCAGATCTGCCAAAAACTTTTCCCTCAGATGTGCTTTCGATTGAATCTCAACATCCTGGAAGATCTTTCTCAGTCTACTGAGCAGCCCAATTTTCACATCCACCTCCTCCAGGTAGCCAACCATTCCTGGATTGGTCACTACGCACCCGACGCCCTCTACCGCCCGATAAGGCAGAAATGTGTAATTCCCACACGAGCTCTTCATCCTCAGCGTAGCCTCACTCTTCACATCATTATAGATAACAATATTCTCCTTCATCTCGAAGCTCTCCCGCACCCCCAGGTGATAGCTCAGCGTACTCTGCTGAGCTTGCACACTCAGATCCACAACTGCCACATCCGCACTGTAGAAACTGTCCACCGTATTCAGTTCCCCAAAGTCCAGCTTTTCAAACTCTAGCAACTGCAAATTGGCACAGGCCTGAATGCAGGCCAGTTTCAATTCTTCAAATGCCATCTTCCGCTGGGCGTAGCACGTATCGATGACGCAGGCAATGTCCATCCGTGGTCGGTTTCCGGACCCGGACTGGGAACCGGTGGCACTGTTGCCGACACCTGCAGCAGCATTGCCAGCGGCATTGTTGTTGAGGATGGCCGTGTTGGCCGAGATGTCGCTCAGGTTGGACATGCTGTCTGCGAAGGAGGCCGCATTTATCCCGGGCGAGTTGAGTGGTTCTGAAAAGAGTGGGGAAAAAAAAGGGGGAATGATTTATTATGCTGGATACAATTGATTTTTGTTTTTGAGCGTTCAGGGCCTAATGTCACAATTTGTATCATATCTCCGGAAATTTAACCCGCTGACGTGCAGTGACCTATTTGTGGGTCAATAACGTCTTTGCAAATGAATTATTATTTAACAATATGGTCCACTCTTCCTATTAACTCCAAGACACAATTTTCCCCGAAAACAACGCACAATTCTGGCGTGCGTTTTGAACAGGTCGTATGTAACAAATGTGTACAAATTGACATTTTAATGCTACCAGACACTACAGGTATAACTCGATATAACGTAACTGTCATTTTTGACTTCCATCCGATTTCTCGCAATCGATCATTCGATCAAGCAAAATAATAACAACATCGGATAGATGAAACAATCCCCCATCTATTGGTAATAGTGATTTGTATGCTTAAATTGTCAATTTCTAGACAGTTACGTTATATCGAGCAGGGTTGCATCCAATCACTTGCTATAAAAAATGTTTTTCGGACTTATGGGTATTTTTGGAACAAGGATGACGTATAGATGCCGAAGATCAATGTTCGATGCCATTTTGTAATCCAAGATGGCGGCCAACGGATTCAGAAAAAAATCAAATACCCTAAAATATTTTTGAAACGGCGTGTAGAGGCCGAAAATCGATGTCCGACGCCATTTTGAAATCCAAGATGGTGGCAATCGGGTTCAGAAAAAAATACCCAATTCCCTATAACATGGGTATTTTTGGAACGGAAATGACGCGTAGCGGTAGAAAATCAATTTCCTAAGCCATTTTGAAACCCAAGATCGGGTTCAGAAAAAGTGTAAAATACCCTACAATGTGGGTATTTACGAATATGGTTGTATCCAAGACACGATCGTAGATTTGACGTAGGATTAAGTGCTCGGTATCAATATTCGGCGACTGTGTTAGGGAAACCACTTTATCCCATCACGGAAACGCCTCGTTTCTGATGACAAGATTGCGCATTTTCGTGCACAAAACGCACGGAATTTTTGGTTTATTCAATAGATAATAAAAGAAAAGCGAAAATTGATTGGAGGAATTCCTTACTAAAATGCTCCATTCACATTTGACCACAAACGCTTGGTTGCTGGGTAAATTATCAAAGAGCTTTGGGAGTGATGTGGGTGGCAGCAAGGCGACTCTTAAACAACAATAATTTATGGTGGTCCTGAAAAGAACCGTTTTGTCGTGATGGTTGAGTAATGCTGAGCTATTAGGGTGTTCAACAGGGATGAGACTGGCGAGCTGTATGTTGTTTGGAACGATGGTGACGCGCTTGGCATAGATGGCCCACAACGACGAGCAACTGAATCCGATCAGTAGGGGTTCCGCTTCCTCCTCCTTCTTCGGTGAATCGAGGGCTCTTGAGAACAGCCTTGATAGCTAGCTGCTTGCAGGGAGCCTTTCGTTGTGTACTGGAGAAAAATGTACAACGTCACACACTGAAAACACTGCTGCTGAAGACGACCGACTGGACACCACCACACATGGCGAGTGAGACCGGATGGAATTCGATTTTGAAATCTGTGTTAGGGAAATCGCTTTTATGCAGCCAATCGGTGATAATTTTCATCACCATTACAACAGTTGGAAATTTTTTCAATAGAATCAATCGATTGGCTTGTTTAGAATTAAAATCCATCCGCTATTGACAGAGTTATAAGTGGTCAAAACCTGACCAAATTTCGTAACGCGGTCAATTTCGGTTTTTTGAAATTTCACCCCCAATATGTTGCCCAAAGACGTAATCCTACGTCAAAACTGATAAATACCCTACCATATGGGTATTTTCGGAACGGGGACGACGTGTAGATTGGAATCCAAGATGAGAGCCGTCGGGTTTAGAATAAGTGTTAAAAATCCTACCACATGGGTATTTTCGGAACCAGGAGGACACGACACTCGATGTCCGACGCCATTTTTTAATCCAAGATGGCGACCATATCGTATGGTATTTTACACTTTTTCAGAAACATCTTGGATTCCAAAATGCAGGGCTTGCCATTGACAAGATTTTCAAAATTTATTCCGCAAAATCCGCGATTTCTCAAAAGAAATTTGTGACTATAAATACTAATCCGCGTCAGATAAAAAACTGTTTTCATTCCTTAATAATAGCATTTCAAGCTTATTATCTATAGCATATAAGCTTTTGGCCTGCTCTTAACTTCTTTGCAGCACTTCCACATTTTAATTTAGAGCCTTCTATGTCTGTACCATCCTATGCCCAAGGAAGTCAAGAAATGTCCCACCCCGAAAAATTAATATATTGGACGAGATTCGAACCCAGCCACCTTCAGCATGCACTGACTTCGTAGCTGCGCGTTTAACCGACTAATCATTTGAACTATTTAGAAAAAAAAATAACTAAGCTGAGCAGAACTAAATAGGAATTCCTATGGTAATTTCATGCGAATGCTAAGAATACTACATGCTAAGGAAAACTTCAAGTGATTTTTTTAGGCATATTTTTCGGGGAATTGCTGAATTATTAATTGCAGAGTGAATTCACAGAGTGTCCTAGTGGTTTAAAAGTTTTGAATTTTTCGAAAAAAAAGTCATTTTTGAAAAAAATAATTGATTTTTAGGACAACCCTAACATGGAAATGGCAACCCTAATGATAACATTAAAAAACACAATGATCTAATATTTTGCGATAAGGAGCAAACGAAATTTTGAGAACGACTATATCGTTTTGCTATGGAATGGCTGTATCAATAATGGAATACTGGATTGGAAGATTTCGAACTTTAACTATTTGACTATGTCAAAAAAAACTGGAAGAATCCAGTTTAAACTGACTTGTTGGCATCACTGCTCTGTACATCACGACAAAAAGAAAATCGTGATATTCACAATTCACGCCATTAAAATGTATTCCACAATTTTAATCATTTAATTATTTATATTTTCGGCGATTATCTCGACTGAAAGTTCAAATCCGCTAAAATCTCGAAATCCACGCCAATTGTAACAGTTCTGAAAATGGTGTTGGACAACAATTTTCGGCCTTCACGTGTCGTCATCATTCCGAAAATACCAATATAGTAAGGTATTTCACAGGTTTTTATAAACCAATGGCTACCATCATCTTGGACACACAGGTAGGGTATTTGGCACTTTTTCTGAACCCGATGGCCGCAACCTTGCATTACAAAATGGTGTAGGACATTGATTTTTGGCATCTAAACGTCGTCCCTGTTCCAAAAATATTGATATAATAGGGTATTTTACACTTTTCTGAGCCCGATGGTCGCCAACTAGAATGGAATCGAATCGGTAAAATGAACTGGGAAATGGGAAATTCCGAGGGGGCGACACATTTAAATCTCAATTCCAGGGTGGCAAGTGAATTTCCATTTTGAAATTCCTGGTTTTTTCCTGGTTTTCCTGGTCAATGATTTAAAAATTTCCTGGTTTTGAAAACCATGTATTTAAAAAACAATTTTGAATAAGCAAAAAATTAAGTGAATCCTTGTACCATTATTCTTCGCGCAATGCGCAATTTTACAAACCAAAATAGGTATTAAGGTTCTTGTGAATGCCCGTGAAATATTTATCTGATTGTTTGCTGTAAAGAAGCTAGTAGGGAGCCACGCTACTTCGTCGTATCATGGCGCCTATTTCCGTTCTATGTGCTAAAACTATAATAGCAAAGTATTTTCACTCATATTTTTGCAAAAAAACATCTTTGCTTATAAGATTAATTACGATTGACACTGAAACTTTTGCGATAACCCGTAAAATGAGCGATTTTAGGGGTGTATGACGAAGAAAAGCTGAGATACGACGGACTAGCGCGGAGCCCTGTCTAATATCTGAAATTTAGAAATCTATAAGCCCCTAAATCTTAAGATGTCTGTTTTTGAAACTGCGATTTTTTTTAACTTTATTATTGAGATTTTTAGCCAACGGGCTAGTTTATCTCAAGGTGAAATTGCGAAGTGTGATATGAATGAGGACTCTTTAAACAAACCTTTGCTTCTAACAATTTTACAGATTTTAAGTTTGTTTAAATTTTCCGCAAATTGTCAACGATTAAGGCTCTTATTTAGCGGAATTTTGATTACAACATGATTTCAAAATCATATCAATAAAAGATTTCATAAACAACGCTGGTTTAATAACTCTTATTATTAAAAAGACTGACTGCTGAAGTTCATAGAAACTCCCTAAGGTTCGTAGAACTTCCCTGAAGCGTTAAGGTCTTTCCTGAAGGGTTCATTGAAGTTTGTATTGCCTGAATTTCATGAGACTTTCCCGAAGTTCGAAGGACTTTTTTTTTAAGATCTTAGGACTTTCCTGAAGTTCGGAGTTTTTTTTTTGAAATTCATAGGAATTTCTTAAATATCGTAGAAATTCTCAGAAGTTCGTGAGACTTCCTTCAAGTTCGAAGAACTTTCTCGAAGATCTGAGGACTTTCCTGATGTTTGAAGGACTTAACTCAATATATGAGGACTCTACATTTAGAAGAGCTTCCCTGAAGATCATAAGGCTTTAAATATCGAAGGGTTTTCCAAAAGTTTGTGAGTCTTTCCTTAATTTCTTAGAAATTCCCTGAAGTTTGGAGAGCTCCCATGAATTTCGTAGGACTGCCTGTAGTTCAATCGACTTCTCGGAAGTTCTAGGAACTGTTTTGAGCTTGGAGAACTATGTTAAGTTCAGAGGACTTCCCAAGAGTATTGAAGGCTTCTTTGAAGCTCAGTAAAAATCCATAAGTGTCATAGGATTATCCTTAAGTTTTAAGCAATGCCTAAATGTCGTAGAAGTTACATTAAATCTGTAGAAAATTCTGTAAAATTCATAGTTATTCCCCAAAGATTAAAGGACTTCCCTGAAGTTCGTAAGACTTCTCTGAAATTTTTAGAACTTCTCTGAAGGTTCGAAGAGATTTCCTGACCATCGTAGGTCATCACAGTAGTTCACAAGATTTTCTTGAAGCT